AAACAAATTTTATAACTAATTGTGGAAAAAAAAATTATCACTTTAATGGACAATTTTAATGTAAAATAAAGCCAAACGAACACAAAAAGATCCAAAATTTAAATATTTTTCGGGTGGAAAATTAAATCAATCAAACACACTTAATTAACAATTTCTTGAAAAATAAGTTCTAATCAATTATTTTTTCTAAAATTCATTTTCTTTCCACCCTTGAAATCAAACGGACCCTAAGATTTCCAAATTTGCAATTCAGGATAAAAATGCACATCTGTCCACTTATTTTTTCATAGAAGAAATAGATGTTCATTTAAATTTGGACGAGCTAATTGTGCAAAAGAATTAAAATAACGGCCCCTCAAATGTGTCGCTCTGAATTTAACTCAAATATTGACCATAATAAATTTGAGTTAAAAGTATTGTTCGATAGCTTATGAAATGTCGACTTATTGAATTTATATTAGGTTTTAAAGAAAAATGTATTTTGCAATAATAATTTATTGGAGAATGTATAATTAAAAAATAAGAAAAGGTTTTGGATTGTATAATTAAGAAAAAAGAAAAAATTTTGAATTTATATGTAATATTATTTTATTAAAAAATATGTGGTTGAAAATAAGAAAGAGAACAATGCATTAAACTTAAAATGAATGAAGCCCAAACTGGGGCTAAATCTATCCTTATTAATTTTTTTTTTAAAAAAGTAATATATTCATCATCATTAAATTCCAACATTATCTTTATTAAATTAAATCGTTTAAATAGGAGTGAGCGCAATCTAATCCGATCCAATTCTAAATTGAACCAAACCGACTACTAATGAAAATATTAGAAATGGAACAATTGGTTCGATATCTATCTATAGAATCAATCGGAAATCCCGTTTTGATCGCCAAGTCTCTTTTCTTGCTCCTTAATATAGTTGTACATTTCCTTGTGGAAAGTATGGTCCAAGGAAAAACAATTACCATCTGTTCCATGCGTAGGATGCCGAGATGATCCTGGCCATTCTTTTCTACAAAAATGTGGGAGAGATTCATAATCCATAATCTTCAACAATTCATCCCTCCCAGATCCTGAAAGGATCTTGACCTTCTTCCTCGTTCTCTCCAACATAAGAGGATTCACAACCTTCCAACAAATCGAAAACATGTATGGCGCGTTAACTATGAAATAAGTCTCCGTCCTCTCTGGATAGTTAAGTTCATTAATGGTTGACATTTCGGAATACTTCTTAATGATTTGATAGATTGAAGAAAGCTTTAGACCAGTCATGTCAAAAATCACTATGCAAGTGCCTATGTATCGTCCCAATCTTTTCGTCGCACAAGGTAAAATCACACGATCTCGATATTCATTAATTTGAATGTGTGACAGAACATAGTAGTCCATCGATGTTTTGTCCGATGTCCTGAGCCCTGCACCCACGGCAAACACGGGATAGCCGTCTTTTGAATAACCGGACATCCCTAAAAGTTGTGAATCGCGGATTAATCTACAAAATTCGACAGGGATGATTGGCTTGGCCAATATGTCATCAATTTTATTTT